GTTTATAGCTAATCGAATAACCTATTATAACTATTCCGACAAATAGATTTTTTTTGTTGTAGAATTTTTTTTTTTTTTTACTGAATCATAATAACTTGTTATGATTAAATCCAACTTAACTACTGTAACTATATAAACAAATTATAGACCGACAGAATTAAATATTTATGATAACACCGTCAACCTATAATATATTAATAAAAGTTTAACCATTAGACCATCGTTAATTGAAATCATTCATTGTTAATAAATTGAGTATTAGAGACTTAAACTCCAGAACATTACTAAACATTAATTGCCATATGAGCATGAGATATTACAAGACATCACAAGATTCTTGTAAAAGTCTGAAACCTTAAAAAAAAAACTGAATTCATAAAATTAAACGCGGAAACGATTAATAGAGTTAGGGTTTACATTTCTTATACAATAATTTAGAATGCCTAATAGGGTTACGAGAATGTCTTTTCTGAAAAACAAACAGTAATTAAAGAAGTGAAAAAAAAAAGGAATATAAAAGTACCTTAAAACAATCTTCACTAGCATTCGAAGGGAGTCCGAGTAGTGAACTACTCACAACTCTCTTATTGATCGATATCTGAATTCTAGTCCTTTTGATCTAAAATGGTTAATGAATAAATGAGTTACAGTAGTCCAGTAAAAATATCATACTAATCACATATACAAAAAACTGAATATTGGTAAAAATTAAAAAAACACCTAATGGAGCCTTTGATTTATTTAAATACCTTTAAACTTGAAAATGTTTGTTTGATACTAACCGTAATGAGTTTTTCAAAAATAACCTATGAAAATCCATATTCGTACCACTTTTTACCTTCATGTATAGGAGAATAAGAGACAATAATTTTATTTTCTAACCTGCTTATTTATAACCCTGTGGGTCCATATAGATATTATTATCTATACTCGTGAACCCAATATCTAATTTTACAATTGACCGGCTGTCTCCATACCCCGTCCAGTAATGAGCGCCAAACATTTCATTACCTCGATACCCCGTCCAGTATGAGGGTAAACCATAATTCCTAAACTTTTTTGGTAAAAGATTTCTCATCCCCATCTAACTGAGATAAAATTCACGGTAAGGTTCCCTATATACCGAGCCCCTCCGCCCTTTCCCTATGTAACCAGCAACTCTTTCATATACAAATTTTTATCAACAAATAATTAACAAATACATACCAATATTGCATATCACATTCACAGATCAATTAAACTACATTCATACTGACATTATATAATCAAAATAACCAAGTTGATAAGACCATTGAATTATAAATTAAGAACATGTACTATACGAAAATCAAACAAGTAGGACAGTAAAGAAAAATAACAGAAAATTAGAATAATTATGAATTAACCGGATTGCGGCTCTAATAATAACCTATAATTATTTTTAGGAATTTCTAATTTTTTATAAAAAATATAAAATTATACATCGTTAAATCTTAATTTACCGTAGCGGAGAATAGAATAAAAGATCTTTACCCGGAACGGTATTTTGAGATGTCGAATTATTTACTATACTTCTTAACGAGTATCGAGTTTACTGAATTTTTTTTGTGAAATTCGAAATACTCGTCACATACCTCAAAATATCTCAAAAGTCCAAAATCGGTGTTCAAAACTCATTTCGACCAATTTTGGGTTTCTGGCACGATGGCGTCGTCATGCTCTAGCGCCGACTCTGCTGCCCATGACGGCAGTTCACCTCAATTTGGCCATTTTTGACCGGTTTTAGCCTGTTTTGGCCAATTTTGCACGTATCCCTACAGAAAAATACGTTATTGGACCTTGGTTGGCCGAAAAATTACAAAAACCGAACCTATCGACGAAGGGAGAGAACATCCGGGTGTAGCGATTTCGCTGGTCCTCCTTCATGGCTAAGATTCTTCCTTCAGCTAACCTGCACAGAAAAAAAACGGCAAACACAATGACCGAAAAATCGCGTGAAACAGGAAGCAGGAAGGGGCTCATCGGAGGTATTTGGAAATTTTGGTCGTCGCGGCTTCGTCGGGCTTAACCCCCGATTTTTTACTCTTGCACCATCCCTCTTGCTCCGATTTAGCTAAAGGGATGCTCGAAATCGAATTCCGAGTGGGTAAGGAAAATTTGTACTTTTTTTCGCAGCCGGCGGTGACTCTGGTGCAGCGGCGTCGGCGGTCGGCCTCCTTCTCTGACGTCTGGTTCTTCTTCTCCGGTGAAGGTTGGCGGTTAAGGTTTGAGCTCTTATGTGACATGAAGTATTTATATTCATCTTGAGTTAATCTAAATCGTCTATCGCGATCGATCTCCTCCGTCCGATCACACATAAAAAAAACGAATATAAACCGTTTATCGCGATTGATTTCAATCGTCCGATCGCACTTAAAGGAGAAACGAATTCGGGTCGTCCACGCGCGCGAGATCGATCTTGGGCCGTTCGGTTGTGGGGCATGTGGATCGCCCGCATGGCCTCCTGCGTGACACCAACGTCAACGTACCTTGCCACGCGACATGCTCTACTTCGTCAGGACTGCTTACTGAACAGTCCTACGTGACTGAACTTTTCTTTTTTGCACTTTAACCTCCTATTTCTAATTTTTCTTTCAAAAATATCATTCGAACTCAAAATTTTATCTTTTTTTTCAAAATTATTTTCAATCTCGTCTCTAATTTATTTTTTTTCAAAATTTCACTTAAATAAAAATAAATAAATAAATAAATTAATAATTAAATAATAAAAAATTATCTCGAATATCTTATTTCTTGTAAGAATAGATTATATTAATTGTAATCTTTACCAACAACTTTTCACTTGAATTTGGCATAAACTTTGAAGAACAAAAAACATACAGTTGAAGGTCACCCAAAATCTACATCTACATGTCTAATCCAAGCAGTGGGCTGAAAATCAATGATGATAGTAAAACAATAGTTATATATTTTTTTATGGTAAAGAAGACAATAAGCAAATCACTTTAATGAAGTTTAACCAACAATATGAATTAACAAAGGAGATTCTACAGTTATTACTCCTACTCTATAGAGGAAACTGTAGGAGTATTCCTGCCTAGGATTCTCTTCTGCATCAAAAAGATGAACTTTAACCAATGAGCTTTTACTAGGTTGCCAATGGTAACAGGTTAATATTAAGAAACCTATAGAACAAACTACAAGAACATTATAATGCCACTCCTGACAAGAATAAAGCTTTATTTTCTTGTACCTGTTTGTAAGATTTGTGGATATCACTTCACTCTCACCTTAATTATTTCTTTTGTCTGTTCCCAACTCCAATAATTTAACTCTCAGTTCCACTTTGAAAAATCTGCAAAGCAGATACTATGCTACTTACATGCTTTTGTTTACCATCTTGCACATCAGACTACAGCTACTCTCTACTAAGTCTCTTGAAGGGCAGAGATCACTTCAATATCATCACATGTCGCGATAAAACCTACCAGTTTTCTCCTCGTCTTTCCCCACTTATCCTGTGGGAAGAGATCTCCAACACTAAATCCTGGAACTGGAAGTGGGTAATGTTTGTGAATTCCAGATGAGAGAATGTTTTCACCTTTAAGTGTATCCATCCCCTCCAACTCTCTGGCCAAGGGAAACCTCTACAAACTGTGGCAGCAAAATGTGTGATTAAAAGTGAGCCTACCAACCAGTTAGGTTCTAAACATCATTCTGCTGTGTCTCCCACCAAAGACCAACTTGAGATAACATCTTAAATGCATTAATTCAGAACATTGAGGCAAATGATACATGCACCAAAACCAACACTAGCAAGGTCTAAACAGACTCCTAAAATCCCAAGTGAAGATACGGGCCGGAAGTTATTCATGAAACTAAATGAAGCAGAAAAATCTGCGAACCCAAAATTTTGTTACGGGTCTCCTCAGAATAAAGAGAACATTTTGAGTAAGAAATTTGGAAACAAGAAAGCACTACGACTTAGCTAATTGAATTGTCCTCTAGTCTTTGTCATCAACAAATAGAGAGAAAATCCCTAGTAACAATGATAATAACCTTCTTGCTTATATGCACCACCTTAATGCTCACAGCTGGGAAAAGACAAGTAATCCAAATATATATTGGTTGGAAATAAAATTCAATTTACAATTTCCACACTCATTTGTTTTATGAGTAGAACATACACTTTTTTTTAGCAGAACATACACATAAACTGGTATGCTGTAAAAGGGAAAAATAATAATAATAATAAAAGCAATGATCATTTGACTTTACAAAATCTACAACAAAAGTGAATATAAACTCTATGATTGACCTGATTTCAGTTGAAAACTTCCATGTTGCAATTCTATAGACCCACCAGTTGTATATCGAGCTGCTTTCTATTTTGAAAATTGGTTTACAAATGAGCAATATGCTAATTTCTCAACCATTCATGCTGAATGGAATGCCATCAATTTTTTTTTTTAATGTTTATGAACTATCACGTAAAGTTGGGAAGCTGATTCCATCTTTTAGATGATTGATTTCGGTGGGACACAACCATTTCAGCATGTTTGGACCCAATACCTGACCAGAAGGCAGAGAAGTTTGAATTAGTTAGAGCTATAGCTGAAGGTAAACAGAGAAAATATGAATTTAGAGAGAGAAAGGTACCAAAGAAATGTTCTTATAGACACCATGGTCGAATGGATGTCTATAGCTTTGCCCAGATTTCCTAGCCAACCATGCTGCTCGTACTCCTTCATAGTACTGCAAAAGACCGTTCAAGATCTCTTAACCTACTAGTATAAGAAAAGATTCAATCTTACTACATATCCTTCAGAAACAGAAAAGTTACCTCTATTGTGGTCATGTTATGAGTCATGAGGTAGATATGCCAACACAAGAGAGTTCCCAATGTTATGCTCAATGCAACCATCATTGCTCCGCAAGCAATCTACCATCTCATACCTCTTAGAATAATCTAATTCCTTTAAAAATATTACACAAAAAGAACTACTTTATTTATTTCTATTTTTTCGCTATCTCTCTCTTTGCTTTGGGGGAGAAGTTATTATTAGAGAAGATAATGGAAAAGGAAAATTAAGGTACAGGACTTTCAATAGGAGTAAAATTTGACAACAGAAAGAAGATCCACATTTAGAAGGACATTGAGATCCGTTCATAGTCCAAAAATTCTGAAATACTCCTAATACATAACTGAGCAAGTTTCTCAAAAGAACTAGAATGCTATTTTAAAAGGGGGAAAAGAAAAGGCTAAAAGCCGTTAATCTAATAAATAGCTGTGATCGAATCAATAGCTCATTTACATTTTATAATAAATGCATAGTTTTGCAATATTGTACCATTTTTAAGCCAATCCAATCAAATAATGATCATTCTAATAGTTTATTTTTTGTGTCTTTTATTTATGTGTTTATTTTTCAATTAGATCCTAATTTCTAAAACGTTTACAAGCAGGGACTGGTGCCTTAACTGGAATCCTTGTCTTACTCAAGTATTCACTCATAAAATCACTCCGACAATACATTCAAAAAAAAAAAAATCACTCCGACAAATGGAAGTTATATATACTGAACACATTTAAACACTCAATTATGAACTTACAAGAAAAACTTTCATATAAATCCTTCCACTATAGTAATCCGAGTTCTTCTGGAATGCAAAAATAATTATCATCACCTGGCAATGCCAAGATGTTCAGAAATAAGTTAAGAGCAATTTACTGAGCGAAAGCAAGGCCTTTGGAGAAGTCAAATAATACATACTGTAGAATAGATGCTCCCCAAAGTCACGTAAAGTATAAATACAAAATAGGCTTTATAGTTCAAATGACCAACGCAATTATCTATCCATAGACAATGATGGTCCTGCACCCAATTTACATGCGGGAAACGATCACATAGAATATATATATATATACACTGTATGTAAAATGATGATAAAAAGTGAAGCCCATACCTAGATAATTATGGTGAAAAAGATGGAACCTGACTTACCATCCTTAAAATACATCTTCTGCAAACACGACAATGATGAGTCCTGGGAGGCTTGTATGCGGAGCATTTATCACAGTGTCTCATTGCTGCACCCTAACAGAAATTATACATCAAGGAATTTAGATCTGCATTGTTAGATGCAGGTTATGTTCACTTCTAATAAACAATGGATAAAGATAATCAATCATACCTCAAAAAAAATTTTAGAATTTAGAAGACAATGAGAGAGAGATACAGAGATATGAATTACGATTTGCCTTGGTCCCTTGATATGGACTCTAAAGATTCCTGAGACTTTCAAATTAAGTATGACTTAGCAAACATAATAAATACTTTTTTTGAGTATGACTTGAAATAAGCTTAGGACTAATGACGCATGGAGACAGCTATCTACCTAGATAAGGGGAATTACTGCAAGATTTATTAACCAATACTTTTTACCTTGGCATGGCATAGGATGGAGGATAAGTAAATAAACCAAATATGAACTCTATCGTTACTTGCAAATTTTCATTTCCTGAGGAAAGCATCACATGTTGTAGCTCATGTAAAACCAAGTTATTTCAAGAGGTATGTAACAGTAAAGCATCTATAGGGAAAGCAACAGAAAATACCCAGATTTCCTGGAAATTTTTGAATAAGCAAAAAAACTAGTCAGTCTTAGCATGCAGACCATTCACCTATAATTCTCTTAGACAACACCTCAGTTTCCACTTAACATCCTCCATTTAGGGTACAGAGCGCGTAAATTTAGAAAGTTGATTTTCATTATATGAACTAACTTCTTTTAAATTCCCATGTATATTTACCCAAACACTATCATGCTTCCATGATATGTAATAATTATGTGTCACTTGTCGAATTAGGAATATGATGTTCCCAAACTTTGGAGCTTACTCAAGTATAAAGTGAGCTTTAGAAAAGGGATAATTGTCAAGATCTCAGGAAGCTGCCAAAAATTCCCCGCAAATGAACTGTGAGCTTTAGGCTTCTTAGTGCATAGTTAGGAAGATCATTTGTAAAGACATTCAGTTGGACACCGGTTGAACCACCTAAACTTTTAAGCTGTATTCCATCTGCCACATATTGTGTATTGGTTTCTTGTCCATATTTTTTCCAATGAGTTTTTACTTTCTGACCATATGTCATCAATAAATATCTACCACCATATTCATTTTATGCCAATGTAATTGGAAGGATGGATGGAATACAAGGCACAAAAATCATGTTTCTTAATGAAAAAATCAAAGGTTTCATACTTCTCCAAGACAAACCTCATAAAGGACCATGATTTGACATGTCAAATGACTTCCTCTAGTTGAAATATGACAGGAGTTTGGACAGGTTGGAGTCAACCATTTCCCCTGACCCAAGGGGTGAAAGGACTTGACCAACAGGC